TCTTGCCATTGCCCCCCATCCATTTCTGGCCAGCCTGGGCTAGGGGACCTAGAGGGGTCTGTGTCCAAGACAGGGGAATGAATGCCAAGCCCACTTTCCCAAGCAGCCCTTACCGGGGAACAGGAAAAGCTGGGTCCGGCCAAGCTGTTCCCAGTCACCAGCAGGCCTGGAGATGCCTCAGGGAAGATGCCCAGGTTTGGACTGGCCTTGAACACCAGGCCCTGCGAGGAGCCCCAGCCTTGGGAACCAGGAGCAGGGAGTTCTAGGAGTAGCCACCCCTCATCTGCTCCCGAGAAAAGTGTATCAGGAGCCCCCCTGGCGCATCTACCCGGCTCTCTGCCCCTTGCCCTCCGCCACCCCGGCCGGCGTGCCGACCATGCGAGCAGCAGGTGCAAGACGCGGGGGTGGCACTGAGATGACACAAAACCACGCTCGCCCCCATCTCCTAAACCCTGCCGGCCTCCGCCACAGCCCTCCTGCCACCCCAGGCTGGCGCTTCCGTTTGGACACTGAGATGGAGGTGGAGGGGGTAGCCAGCTGCCCGCCTCCCCCAGACCGAGGGGTGGGAGGCGGCGCCGGGAACGTCCTTCCTCGCTCGTCCACGGACTCGAGGGAACAGGGCCCCCGGCCGGCTCTCCCGCCAAGGACGCGGCTCCGCAGTGGCCCCGACGGGGGCCGAGGCCGGAGGCCGCAGCCCCCAGCCCGCCCCGCCCTCCGGCCCCGCACGGCGCTCCCGCCAGGCCCCGGCGCCCGCCCGGCGGCGGCCTGAGTGCGCGGTCCCGCCCCCGGCCCGGCCCCGCTTACCCGGGGCGCTGCAGTCCGCACACACCTCCGCTCGCGGCCCCTTCCGGGACATCCTCGGCGGCGACGCGGCCGCAGCCCTCTGGGCCAGCGTGGGGCGCGGGCGGCGCCCGGGCGTGGCGGCGGCCCCTGCTGCCCGGCCGGCTCCGGCAAGGCCCGGCGAGGCTCCGCGCGCCCGGCCAACCGTCAGCCCACGGCCGGCCCGGAACCGCCGGCCGCCTGCCCGCTCGCCCTCGGGCGCCTCCGCCCCGCGCCCGCCTCGCCGCCCCGCCGCCGCTCGCTCTCCCCGCCCCCTGCGCGGCTCCCGGCCGCTCCTGCAGGAAGCGGCGCAGGCCCTGCCCACCGGGGGAGGGGCGGCCCACACCCCCGCCCCGCCGCCCCGCGCCGGCCGCGCCTCCCGGAGAAAGGAAGCCGGGAGCGCGGGCGGGAGGGGGCGGGGGCGCTTAAAGGGGCCGCGGCCGCCGCCGCGCCGGGCCCCCGCGGGCCGCTCGGCCTGCGGACCTGGCCTCTGCTCCGGGCTCCCCAGGCCGGGAGGCAGTGGGGGTCACCCTCACAGCCCCATCCCCTTCACTTTTGGCGTGGGGGGTGGCCGGGGGACGCTCGGCCCAGGGTCCAGGGTGGGTGAGTCGGCTTGGTGGGTATCGGAAGGGAGGAAGGACCTGAAGGCCCAGGCCCACCCTCCCCTTCGCGGTCAAAGGGGCTGTGCCTTGGGGTACCTGCCTATCTTTGGCTTGGGTCAGGTGTGCGTCCTGGTCCCCCATGTGTCCACATCTGTGTCCAGGTGTGTGTATGTGTGGTCACACTCTTGCTGACAATATGGACGCCCAGGTGCCCGGGAGGTCATGCAGTGTGTTCTTCTGCCTCCGGACTAAAAATACATCTATCCCTCCCTCCATGCTTCCATCTAGAGAGGAAAGAATCTGGCTGGTTTTAAAAGACCTCCTGAGGAGTGACCACTGTGCATGCATGTGTGGTCACTTGTCATCTGCCTTATATACATCCGCGGTGTTTCTGGGCCACCAGAGGTGTGTGGGTCCAGAACGTGTGAATATAACATATAGGGGCCTTTCATGTGATGGCCTTTCTTCCTGGACTTCACAAGAGAGGCAGTGGAGGGATGTGGGTGGGGGGCAGGGAGCGGAGGTGCAGGCCACACGTGGGTGCACCCCCGCACTGAGCATGCTCCCCCACACACGTGTGTCCCGCGTGCACCCAGCCCCAATCCCTGCTGCAGCAAAAGCCAGGGCATTTTCCTTGTGGGGAGAGGGCATGGGTGCCCAGGACCAGGCCTGGTGGGCAGGTCAGTGCTGACACAATTAAGGAAGGGTTCCCTGAGCATCAGGGACTCCTGCTAGGTAGATGGGGGGAGTCCTTGGACAGGGGTGCCCAAGTTGATCGATTTATCCCAGCGGTGCCGGAGTGGCAGTGACTTGTGGGTGGGCAGGCTCCTTCCCTAGGGGAGATAAGTAATGCTCATGAGTCACACCACCCGAAATACATGCAAAGCTGCCTCCATCGCCTTTAGCTGTGGCCCAGATTGACAAGTTTGTTTGAAATCGCGATCCACGGGATATATTTATAATCGCACCTTAAAAAAAAATCTCGAAGGCCTCCCCTTCCCCCACAGACAGCCGCTCAGCTGGTGGGGCTTCTGCAGGCAAAGATACCTCGCGGGTGATGGGGGGGGAGCACCACCTGCCGCCCCGTGCTGCACCCTCACCAAAGTGTCCATGGGCTTGGTGGCCCCAGCGGAGGGAAGGGAGGGACGGGAGGTGTGGCCTGGCAGCTCGTACTGGGCGCTCAGCCCACTAGCGGTGGCCGCCCGTTCACCCCCGATCGACCCCCAGCTATGGAATTTCATTTATTAAATGTCGAGGCGGCTGCTGGCAGCCCTGCCACTTGGCTGTCTTTGTTTCTCCGCTGTGTGGGCGCGTCTCGAGCACGTGGCAGCCAGAGCGCGCAGACAGGAGAAAAGCGACCTGGGTTTTGTGTCTGTGGCCGCTTAGCAAAAAGAGAACCTGGCTGCCCAGAGGGCAGTTCCCCTCCAATCCGAGCCGAACTCCCCTCTCCTTGGACTCCTGGGCTTTGCAGAGAAGGAAGGATGATTCACCCCGCTGCCCTTCCCCCCCTTCCCCCGGCGCCCCTCATCTCCTGGTTGGCCCAGAGACTACCTGGGAGTGGCCCTGGCACCGCACACTGTCCAAACTTTGTTCCCAACCCCCCTTTTCACCCCTCCCCCGCGCTGTCACAGCCAAGCTTCTGGGCTTGGGGCTGGGGATAAAAGGGTTTCTGGGTTTCCCTGTGGAAATGTCACCACCCCAGGAAGCAGCGTAGCTAAAGTGGAATCACACACAAGGTTCTGAAAACAATTTAATAAGGAAATGTACAGGCATTCTGCCGGCCACTCCTAGACTCCCCTCGGCCGCTCCAGCCCACTCCCCACTCCCGGCTGCAGCCATGACGCTCTGCTGACCCCTCGTGGTGGAGGCGGGCAGCGGTCCCCGGCTGCGGGAGGCGCCAGCTGGCTCCTCCCAGGCTGGAGAAAGGGGCGAGGCAGTCCGCTCCTCCCTCATTTCTTCCCGCCGGGGCCTGGCACCGCAGGGTGTGGAGGAGGAAGGAGAGAAGACCACACAAAGAAACCTGAGAGAGGCGCGGAGAGTTTGCAAGCTTTTGCTGGCACCTCCCACACAAACAGTTCTTGGATTGTTGTTCTAAGCAGGGCCGGTGTGGAATCCCTTATTCCCTGCCTCGTTCTAAGGTGGGCTCTAGAAGGCACCGTGCCTGGTCCTGCCACCTGTCTCACTCCGCCTGGTTGGGGGAAGGAGGCGCCGTTTTCAGGGCAGTTGTTATCCTTAGCTCACCCCAGGAGGTAGTATCCAGAGTCTCGTTTTAGAGGTGAGTGGACTGAAAAACTCAGAAAAATCCCGCAATTTGCTTAAGGTCAGTAAGAAGGTATCAAACTCAGATCTGTCTGACATCAGTACCCCCTCCCTCCGGGGACTAGGCCTCTTGGTCGTGCCAGTCTTTGCAATTGGCGGCCCCAGAGGCCAATTCAACTTTTACCACACCCTTTGGAAGGACAGTTCTGGAAGGACTTCTCTGTCCTGGGGTCATTCAGGAAGGAGACAGTCTGGAATCAGTCACTTCCCTTCCTGAGGGGACCACTTGGAGTAGAGGCGGGGAGCTGCCACCTGCTGCTTTCTCTGCCCAACCTCACTGTGCTTCTTGCTGAGGACTGTGTATGGGGGGAAGGGACTGTCCTCCCCGTCTTACTGTACATTCTCTTTCCAATGTCATGTGTGGAAGGTGGAGTTTAATTTTCTAAGAGGGCAGAGAAGACGCCTAAGAAATATTTCTGGGGCTGGACTCCTGGCTGCTCCAGTGACCCTTGGTACTGAAATCCCACACCTTTCTCAGGAGTCCTCCATCAGTCACTCTCTTCTGGGAGTCCGAATCCCTCTCCACGGCCCCTGGGACCCAAGCTCAATTCTGAAGGCTACACCTCCCCCCAAAGCAAGCGCAAGGCCTGCAGCCCCCTCCGTCCCCAGCAAAAGGCAAAATGCCAGAGGGTGAAGGTGCCCCTGCCCAGCCCACCTGGCGTCGGGGTCCTGCCTCCGTTTTAGCCAGGCCTGACCCCCTGCCCACCCTCTCATGGGATCAGGGGACAGTGCGGGACCCTGCCCGGCCACCTGCCACCCCCAGTTCCACGAGGCGGACTACAAGCCCCATGATGCCGCGGGGCCGAGCTAGAACAAGCTCTGCCCTGGCGCCGGGTCCCCTTCCTCTCTCCCCCGCATCCCCGCATCCCTCGCCGGCCGCTCGGGCTGAGGGCCGGGCTATGCGGCTGCGGGGAGCCGGGGGCTGCGGGCGCGCGTCCCTGCGCCGGCGGCGGCGGCGTCCCCGGGGCCCGCGCCCCGTGCGCCCCCGCGCCCGCTGCGGGCGCCTGCTCCCTCGGCCGAGCGGCGTCTTTGTGTGCGGGGGTGTGGGAGCCGAGGCGCGAGTCCGCGCCGCGCCGCCGAGTGCCCGCTCCCTCCCCGGGCGGGTGGGGGCCTCTCCGGCGCCACCGCCGCGCCGCCTCGCGAGGACGCCCGCCGCCCGCGCCGCCCGCACCGCACGGCGCGCCACCCGCCCGCCGGCTGCCGCCGCTCGCACATGCCCGGCCGCAGCCCTGCGGAGCAGGCAGCGCCGGCCCCCCGCCCCGCGGCCCCGGGCCCCGGCTCCGGCGCCGTCCCTCCTCCCGGGCCGGGCGCCGCGGCCCCGGTATGAGGAGCGGGCGATGATCCCCGCCAACGCCTCCGCCAGGAAGGGGCCCGAGGGCAAGTACCCGCTGCACTACCTCGTGTGGCACAACCGCCACCGCGAGCTGGAGAAAGAGGTCCGCGCCGGCCAGGTGAGAGCGCCGTCGGGGCGTCGGGGACCCCGCGGCCGGGCACGCCCGTCCGGCGTGGGGAGGGGGCGCGGCGCGGGCTGTCCCGCCTCCCCGGCGAGTTTGCAGCGCTTCTTTGTTTGCAGCCGTGGCTTTTGTGCTTGTTGACCCGGAGAGGGTGATGGGAGCCGCCCCTGCCCACTCCCCTCCGGCCGGGACCCGCGGGCCGCACGTGTTTCGGACCCTCCCAGATTGGGGTAGGGGACACTGTGGTCTTCCTCCGCCGGGGCAGTGACGGCTGCAGGGAGGGGCCGCAGGCTCGGTCCGTGTTCCATGTGGAGGGAGAGTCCGCCCCACACAGTTGAGCGGCGACACCTCCTGCGTGAGGGGGCGGAGGTGGGGAAGGCCTGCGTGGGGAGGGGGCCACAGTTCAAGGATCAGGGAATAGGCTGTGTGACACTCCCAAGCATCCCAGCCCCACCCAGTGCCCTCTCCCCTCCTGGTGAGCGCTTTCTCTTTTTGCTCAGGCTGGGCAGCGCCCCATCCCTCAGACCCCAGCTCCGCTCAGGACGGGGTAGCCGAGAAAGACCCTCTTGGAGAGGCCCCAAGCGAGGCCTTGTCCAGGTGCTGAAAGGCGCTCTCTTGCCCTCTGGTGCTGGGGCCTGGCTTCTAGGCGCTGAGGAAGCTCGTGGGCACTGGCCACAGACATGGCTTGAGGTTGTGCGTGCTGAGTGGGCTCCTGGTTTGTGCTGGTCAGGGAGGTCGGGTGGATCCGTCAGCTTTGGGCTGGACTGTGGCCTCCAAGAAAACAGGGGAAGGGGTGGAGTTTCTTGGCCATTCTTTGGGACACAGTCTCCAGTTCTGCCCTTGGCACCCAGGCCACAGGTAGGCACTCATGGCATCGATGACCCACCCTCCAGGGTGGGCAGGAGAAGCCAGAGCTGGGCCCATCCTGCTTTGGGTCACCTGGGGTTGGGACCTCCAGACTTGGCCTGGGTCTGAGATCTTGGGGCCACGGGCTGGGAGAGGCTAGCTCAGGACCTGCCCCTTGTTGGGGGGATGGACCTTCTGAGGGCTCCTTCCTGAGTTGCAGGAAGTTCAGTCTGAGGAGCTGTCCCATTGCCAAGGGAAGAGTACAGGGCATGACATCAGACGCCCGGCAAGGTGAGGGTCAGAGTGTGTCTCTGAAGTTCACCACTGAGCCCCCAAGCCTGTGCATCGGCCACCTCTGCACAGCAGTCCCAGGAAATAGTGAAGTGACCTGTGTCTGCAAGCCTCTGGGCTGGGCTGGGCTGGGCTGGGTGTCCACTTCCTTTCTACCTCTGCTTACGCTGGGATTCTCCAAGTTTCTTCTCAGACCACGCATGCCTCTGTTTATCTGCCATAAAGGAAGTGGCTTGCAGTCAGAGGAGGCCTGGTGAAGGGAGTGAGGTCACAGTGCCCTGGGGAAACCAAGATGAACAAACAAGGCACCAGCCCCTACCCTCAAGGAGACTCTGTTCTGCTGATGCAAGTGTGAGCAGGGAATTCCAGTGCCATGAGCACAGTGCTAAGACTCGAGCAGTCCAGTCTCTTCTGGCCTTTCTCTGCTTTTCTCCCTTGAGGCAAAAGAAGACAAGATTCTGACCTAGGTTACAGCAGGAAGGATTTAAGTCTGATCTGAGAGGGACTTCCCAAAGGTCCAAGGATTGTTAGGCAGAAGGCTAAATCTCAGAATGCCTCCTTATCACTTCCTTGACTGAGGGTGGGCGGTTCTTTTCCCACAGAGACTGGAAAGAGGCAAGATGCCCTGTAAGAAAAGACTTTTTCATCTAGGCCTTTCTGCTGATAGTCCTAAAGTCAGCAGCCATCTTGCTGGGGTAGGGTTGTGGGGGGGAGTCCTGGGGCTGCTGCAGGTGGCCGGAGTTTGGGGCTGCTGTGTGTGTTCCTCCTCCCCTCCCCTCAGGCTGCCACGGAAACCAGGTACCAGCTTCACCCCATCCCTGCCCTGGTGAGTTAATGTCGCCTTGAAATGGACACCGCCTGCCCTGGATCCGGGCCAGGGGGAATATAGGGCACCGGTTGACGTTAACCCTTGTTCAGCCACAAAGGAGCCAGGCCAGTCCTCTTCTTCCCTGAGGGAGGCCAAGCAGGGGAATGCCAATCAGTGTGGGCAGGGGTGGCCCTGGCGTGCCCCGTCTCCAGGACTGACCCAGCGTGAGGCTGGCATTGGATGCACTCTGCTGCTCCTCGGGGCATTAGGCTGCTTCTTGCAGGGGGCCTGACCTGGGGGCAGCCACCCAACATCATGGTGAAAGCCCTGTAGGACCCTGGCATCCCAGCTGGGGTCCCTGACCACTGGTCGTCCTGGCACCAGCCACCCCAGAAGACAGCCAGGTTTGCCTCAGGCATTCAGCGGCTGGGCTTCCCTGGCGTCGCTTTGGCAGAGCTGCCTCCTCTTCACTCCTACAGAGCCCCACAGAGGCCCTCCCGTGGGCAGGCTTGGCAGTGCCGCCTGGCTGAGGAGGGGGATGGCATGGCAGCCTAGGCGCAGGGCCATGGGCTTTGCCCAGCCCCTTCGTAGCTCTTCTGGGGGCTGGAAGCAGGGATTGGTGACTAGGTAGGAGGTGCTTGGGTGAAGGGAAGGGACTGAGAACCACCCCTGGCTGGCCCCCAGCAGTACTGTGGTTGCTGGTGCCCTGCTTGCCACCATACACCCACCTTGCCAGGTTGGGGGAGGGACAAAGGGTTGTAAGCCAGAGGATGTGCCAGTTCCCCCTTGCCTGGCACAGCCCAAGATTGGCACAGCCAGCTGGGCATAGCCCTGGCTTTAAAGTCACGAGTCCCTGGTGTTCCCTGGGGGTGGGGGAGTGGGGGTGAGACTGCCAGCTCCCTGTGGGAGGGCACAGGTGCAGGGAGGGCTGGGGGAACCAGATTCTTCCCCTGGCAACAGGAACCCTGAAGGGGGCAGACTGTGGTCCCAGGGAAACATTTTCCTTTTTCCTGGGGCTGCCTCCACCGAGGCACCGTGGCTGCCTCCTTCCTGCCTTCCCTGTGAATCCTTCCGACCTAGAGGCAGGCGAGATGGGGTTGTGGATGCTCAGGGAGTCCCTGTGACCCACCTCCCCAAAGTGGACAGTCCTGGGTGTGGGGTACCACAACTGGTAAGCTAGGAAGCTCAGGAGGGCGAGCCACAAACCCCAGAAACCAAAAATCAATGTGTTCTGGGATGAGTGGGAGGGGGCTGCACAGAACGGGGGTGGGGGTGGGGGGCAGGATGGAGGGGAAGGCGGAGGGTGCTGCCCCCACCCACCCATAGCCACCCACTCAGCTGGAGGAGGGATCCTGCCTCCCTCCCCTGGAGTGAGCTCAGGCATAGCCATCCCTGTGCCCCAGGTCGGAGAGCTGGAAGCAATGACCCTGAAGCTGTCTTCCTGGGGCCGGGCGGGCCTGAGCAGGCAAAGCCCCCACAGTGCCGGCCCCTCGCCCTCCCTGTCCAGCACCCGTGTTCAGTCTATAGGTTTGGTTTGTTGTGTGTTGATAAGGTTTCACTTGACAAAAGGATTCTGCTAATGCTGAAGGAGTTTGAAAAGAACCGTGCTCACGCGTGTGGGTGTGAGGGGTGTTCGTGTGCAAATGTGCTGGCAGCGAACACGTGTGTTACACTCCGGGCGACTCCTGCAGAGCCAGAGGGCAGCTCGCTGCGCCTAGGGAGCCCCAGCTTTCTTGCGCCTGAGGCCTGCTGGGGTGAGGCTTCTCCATTGCCTTGGTGGGGAGGGCTGGTGTTGGTTTCACGGGACACCTTTTCATTCCAGCAATTAAATGCCTGCCTTTGCTGGGGAGACTGGTGAATTCTCCCACCTGGGCTCAGGCCGAGGGGCCGCTTGCGCTGCAGGTCCTGCTCCGGGCAGGTGGGGAGAGCTGATCTGGGGTTCGGCTGGGTATACGGGGGTCCACATGGGCCCTGGAAACGGCAGTGCCCTGGGGGAGCTCCTGAGGAGTGAGGTGGGGAGGAGCACCCCGCCTGGCAAGGCGTGCCAGCCTCTCTCTGGAGCCTGGAGCTAAGGCGCCTGAGGGGGCAGGTGGGAGGCAGCACCTGGAGGCCGGGCAGGGTGCCCTGCCGGCTCCCTGGGGCCTTGTTAGAAGCAGCAGCATCTGGGGCGGGGCTGGGGGAGGCCCAGGCTCAGCAGCAGCCCCAAGGGAAGGCCTCCCCACCTTCCCCAGGCAGCTCAGGGGCTGTGGCTCCTCCACCACGCCCACCCAGGGCCCGGGACCCCATCCGGGGTGGGACTCCAGGGGGCCCAGCCCAACCCATGATAGGCAAACAGTAAATGGTGCCACCCGCCCCAGAAAGCCAGTGCAGAGGGGCAGCGAGGGACCCCTCACATTTCCCAGCCAGCGCTCAGAGGTCGAGAGGGACCAGGCACACTTCTTTTTTGAGACTCCCAGTATATTTAAAAATGAAGAAATGACAACACAGGGTTATAAAAATTATATAAATAATTCTGCATTATTTAAAATGTTTTATTTTTGACACAGGAGTTCATCCTTGTGCTTTAAAATATTTAACTGGTGCTAGAAGGTGTCTAATGAAAAGCAGCGTTCCTCGCTCCGCCGCGGCCACCTCCCCAGGGACGACCACTTGAACACTGGGGCTCTTTCTTCTGTTATTCCTCCACAATTATAAATAATATACTTCTGCAACTATTTCTTGGTTTATCAGCTTTACACTTCATTCCCCTCCCCTCCTCGGGGCCCCTCAATACAAGTCCTCCGTGCATTTTCTTAACAAATATCTAGAGGCACCAGTTAGCCAGTTATGTGCCCGGGGCTGGGGACCCGCCTTGGGGCTTGTGCTGTAGGTGAGGGAGTCGATGGGGAAATAAACAAGCAACTAAGTGTTGGGAAAGAACTAAAGCAGGATAAGGGGCCATAGATAGATCAATAGCAGCTGTCATCTCAGATGGGTTGTCAGGCAGGCTTTTCTAGGGAGGTGACATTTGAGCAGCAACCTGAAGGAAGGGAGGGAGAGAGCTCTGCCGCACAGGGGATCCCTGGGAAGACGGTTCCAGGGAAGGTGGGTGGCAGGAGTGGAGGGGAGGAGGGAGAGCAGGGGGAAGACCAGGGCCCTTGGATTCTATGCTAAATACCACGGGAATCCACTGGAAGGCTTTGAGGTGAAGAGTGTCAGTGACATTTCACAGGGTGACGTTAGCTGGCCTGGAAAACAGACCTCAGGGGCCAAGACAGTGAGGGGGCTACGAGGCCGCCATGTGGAACATGGGGTGGATGTGACCAGGATGGTGGCTTGAAGGTGACGAAAACGGAGAGGACACTAGGTCTGTTTTGAAGGCAGAACCTACAGGTCTCGCTGATGGATTAGATGTGGAGGGTGAGGGACAGAGAAGAAGGAAGACAGTTCCAAAGTGTTTTGTTTTTTTCCCTCACCTGACAACGGAGTCACCTGAAGTACTGTTTACAGCGGTGAGAGAGCTGGGGCAGGTGCAGCTCGCTGTCGGGGAATGGAGAAAGCACAGGAAAGTGAAGACAGCCACTTCTAAACGAAGAAGGCAAGAGAAAGAGCAGGAGACGTCACGGGAGGCCAGGATGTGCCGTTTTGTTTCATGAATTCAATGATCTTGTCATATTTTCCTGAGGATGTAAATGATTGTTTTCCCCAAAGAAGTTTTCTTTTATTCCCTGCATTAACAGAGTTTCCTCTGGGTTTTTAGCATCGATCTGTATGTTTTGGTTTATTTCATATTGGAAGTTTCCCTCCAGTGTCCAGTCTCTGTTGACTATTGGGGCGTGGTCCAGAGCGGGGGCGTGGTCCAGAGTGGGGGCGTGGTCCAGAGCGGGGGCGTGGTCCAGAGTGGGGGTGTGGAGTTTGCAGGTGCGTGGGTGCTGCTGTAAGAGGACCGGGTGGCAAGGTGGGCTGTTCTTGCAGGACCTCCAGATACCTGCATGCCGAGGTCTTGGGGGCCTTTAGTTCCTCCAAGGAAGAATTCTCCAATCTCCGACTCGGGAGGGCTGGGCTGGTGGTGTTGCAGTCTGGCTGCCGGTGGTTCAGGATCCAGGCAGGGAAGGGGCTGAGGTTTCATTGGTCACCAGTTTTCAGCCCCATGACCTCATCCTCTGCCGTGGCCAATGTCCCTGAGTCCAGCGCATCCCATGGTCAGTCTCTGTAGAGAACAACCTCTGGCCTCCCATGGTGAGTAAGGATGAGGCATCTCCCAGCTTTGCAAGCTTGGGGAGGGGACCAGGGGGTCCTGAATTGTAACCAGCCCCCCTGTATTCAGCTCTGAGCCTACGCCCACCTCTGCTGTTCCCAGTGCCTGCAGGTCCTGCAGTTTTCAGGGGTGCTGGGGGTGGCCCGGCTTGCTATTTATGGGGGTTCCCCTCTGCGCCTGCTTGGGTTCTCAATTCCTCTGCTCCCCTAAGTCAGTTGTGGTGCCCCAGCCACTTTTCATGTTCTAAAGTTGTGTTGAAATTTCTCATCTGCTGACATCTCTTCTCTATATTCTTGTGGGTTTTAAATATTTTATTGACATTCTTATACTTACACATTTAACATTTCTGGCACTCCTCATTCCTTTGTATAGATCCAAGTTTCCATCTGGTATCGTTTTCTTTCCACCTGAAGAACTCCCTGTAACATTTCCTGCACATCTTCTGGCGATAAATTGTCTCAGCATTAGTTCATCTGCTACAGCCTTCATTTCCTCTTCATTTTTGAATAATTTTTTCCACTGGATACACAATTATGTTTTTTTTCTTTTTTTTTTGAGACAGAGTCTCACTTTGTTGCCCAGGCTAGAGTGAGTGCTGTGGCATCAGCCTAGCTCACAGCAACATCAAACTCCTGGGCTGAAGTAATCCTCCTGCCTCAGCCTCCCAGGTAGCTGGGACTACAGACACATGCCACCATGCCTGGCTAATTTTTTCTATTTTTAATTGTGTGGCTAATTTCTTTGTATTTTTTGTAGAGATGGGGTCTTGCTATGTTGCCCAGGCTGGTGTAGAACTCCTGGCTTCAATTGATCCTTCTGCCTTTGCCTCCCAGAGTGCTGGGATTGCAGGAATGAACGACCATACCTGACCTCCTCTACTTTTTTTATCTTATCTTCTGGGACTCAAATTACACATATATTAGAATGCTTGATAGCATCTTACAGATTACTGAGGCTCCTCGACTCTTTTCTGAAGACTTTTTTTCTCCTCTTTGCTTCAGTTTGGAGTTCTACTGCTGTGTTTTCAGATTCACCATGTTTTTATTCTGTAATATCTAATCTGCTGTTAATTTCATCCAGTGAATTTTTCATTTCAGATATTATACTTGTTACCTTTATATGCTCGATTGGGTTCTTTTTTATATCTCCCATTTTATTCCTCAGAAACATCTTGCTCATGTTTTTCTTTAAACTCTTGAGTATATTGAGCCATCTATCATCTTTATAACTTCTGAGTCTTATTTCTATTATTTTCTCCTTATTATGGATCATATTTTCCTACTTCTCAGCATACCTAATAATTTTTGGCTGGATATTGGAAATCTTATGCTAAGCATCTGGATTTTGTTATCTTCCTTTAAAGAGTGTTAGGCTTTGTTATGGCAGATGATGAAAATTCCTTGCAAAGCAGTTTGAGCCTTTTGAGGCTAATCTTTAATCCGTCATGATGGGTCTAGGTGAGGAGCCTTTTCTCTAGGGATAGTTTAGCCCTACTACTGAGGGCTGGGATCTTCTGGGATCTCTGTCGAATATGTTGGGTGATAAAAAGAAAAAAAAAACTCCACTCTACTAGGTCAAAGCTTAAATGCCTTTCTGCCCTTGGTGAGCTTTGAGAATTTATCAGTTTATTACTCCTTTTTTGCATGGTCTTGTTGAGTTTCCCTACATGCATGTGAAATTTAGAATTCAGCAAAGACTCAAAGGAACACCTATACAGATTTCTAGAGGTTTTTTTCTTTTCTTTTCTTTTTTTAAATAGTTCACTCCTTTCCAGAGCTCTTCCATGCAACTTCTAGTTACCTCAGCCTCCCTGAATTCCTGTCTGTCTGCTCAACTTAGGGAGAGCACCACATTTTGTTGGGAATTCCCCTCCTTGAACCCCAGCCTGGAATGTTCCTCCAGGCAGAAATCCAGGGAGGTTATAGGACTCACCTTTTTTTTTTTTTTTTTTTTTTTTTGAGACAGAGTCTCACTTTGTTGCCCAGGCTGGAGTGAGTGCCGTGGCGTCAGCCTGGCTCACAGCAACCTCAATCTCGGGGGCTCAGCGATCCTGCTGCCTCAGCCTGCCGAGTAGCTGGGACTACAGGCATGCGCCACCATGCCCAGCTAATTTTTTGTATATATATTTTTAGTTGGTCAATTAATTTATTTCTATTTTTGGTAGAGATGGGGTCTCGCTCAGGCTGGTTTCGAACTCCTGACCATGAGCAATCCGCCTGCCTCGGCCTCCCAAAGTGCTAGGATTACAGGCGTGAGCCACCACGCCCGGCCCTCACCTTGTTTGTTTTAAGTGATCACAGTTCTGGACTACCAGTTGCCTAATGTCTGAAAACAAAAATTCATATATTTTGAAGCAATAGTTTTCTCATTGTTTAATGTGGAAGAGTAATTTCATTTATCTTATGGTTAGAGTAGAAGACTTTTACTAGCATCTTAATCAAGTTTTGAAAAGGAGAGGAAGAGTTACATGCATGTGGTCAGTTCATTGTATTTAACTAGAAGTCCTAGACTCTTGAAATATATTTAAATATTTATGTTTAGCAAACATATGCTTTTATCACACAACAAAAATCTCATGCAGTGTAATCATGCTATTCACAAAATATTAATGGGATTTATACAAAATGTTAGGGCATAGTATCCCACAGGCACAGGACATGGCTGTGCAGTTGTGCCATGACCATGTTCTTTCATTCCTACCAGTGTATTACTGCAACTGTTTGCTAAACTTCACTCAGTGACAATGTCAATGATCTAAATTGGTAGCCTTTCCTAAAGGTGGTCTGGGACCCCCTAAGATAGGTCTGGTCTCAAGTACCCTCCTTGGCCACAGCCTGTCTGAAACACCCTCCAGTCCCAGGCTTATTCTTCATAGGCTGCCAACTGGGTCTTGGAGCAGGGAACCCAGCCAGGGACCTGGGTGGACAGGAAGGGAGGAAGGCCCTCCCCCTCCCAGAGTTACTTTCTGCCCTGTCTTCTAAGCCTCTTTCCACCCTCCTGACCCCAGCTCATTGTGTCTGTCTTTTCCATCACCTTGGGAGGTGGGCAAGGCAGGGCCGCCAGGCAGTGGGGTGCTGCCTGCATAGGGGCTGTTGGCTCAGGTGGGCTACCCCCAGAAGTGACCAGGGCTACCACATCTTCAACTCCTTCTCCAGGTGGACATTGAGCAGCTGGATCCTCGTGGTCGGACTCCCCTGCACCTGGCTACCACTCTGGGGCACCTCGAGTGTGCCCGTGTGCTCCTGGCACACGGCGCAGACGTGGGCAGGGAGAATCGCAGTGGCTGGACAGGTGGGCACCCCTGCTCCCCCCGGCCCCACAGCCAGGGTCTCCCTGGCATCACAGACTCACCTCTGGTTGGCTGAAGGGTCCTGCCCTGTGACATTGCCTCCCCCTCCCCAGTGCTCCAGGAGGCCGTGAGCACCCGGGACCTGGAGCTGGTGCAGCTGGTCCTGCGGTACCGGGACTACCAGCGGGTGGTGAAGCGGCTGGCGGGCATCCCGGTGCTCCTGGAGAAGCTGCGCAAGGTGAGGCCCAGCCTCTCAGCCTCCTTGCCGGGGCCCTTGAGCCTGTGTCCCACGCAGGCTCAGCCTCTCTCTCCTTCCCCTTCCAGGCTCAGGACTTCTACGTGGAGATGAAATGGGAGTTCACTAGCTGGGGTAAGCGGGGCTGCAGGGGCCCCTCTGGGCACTCGGGGTCCCCTGCCTGAGGCTCTCTTGCCCTGCCTCTTCCCATGGCGGGGCTCAGTGCCACCTCCTAGCTAGGCCTTTCCAGGCTGCCCCAGACATCATCTCAGTCCTATCATTATTTTCTTCACTCTAATGACTTGCTTATGTTTATTACCCGTTACCCCTTGCTAGCAGGTAAGCTCCAAGAGGGCAGGGTTCTGTCTTGTTCCATGTTGTATTCCCAGTGACTGGAATAGTGCCTGGCATGCAGTAGGTGCTCAATAGATATTTTTTTAAAGAATGGATGAAAGATTGAGTGAATGAATTAACAAACAAATGGTGGGTGCCAAGGACTTAGTGGTGACTGGGATACGCCTGTCCTGAACTGGGGTTGCTCACTTCTGAGTGATGTGGTCCACATCGGCCGGGGCAGGCTTTGGAGGAGGGGCTGCTCTCTCACCAGTTCCCCCACCCTTTCCTGGCCACACTGAGCCCACGCCCATCCCTGAGCTGGCCCAGACTGGGTGGCCAGGCAAGTCAAAGACACCTCTGACCTCCACTTCCACGCAGTGCCCCTGGTGTCCAAGATCTGCCCCAGTGACACCTACAAAGTGTGGAAGAGCGGGCAGAACCTGAGGGTAGACACCACGCTCCTGGGCTTCGATCACATGACCTGGCAGCGAGGGAACCGCAGCTTTGTCTTCAGGGGCCAAGGTCAGGCAGGCAGGAGGTGCGGCAGGGCGGGGAGGAACGAAGACAGCCCCACACCAACCTTGACGCCCCTGTGCTGTTCCGTGGCCGGTAGACACAAGCGCTGTGGTCATGGAGATTGACCACGACCGCCGGGTGGTGTACACGGAGACTCTGGCGCTGGCCGGGCAGGACCGCGAGCTGCTGCTGGCCGCCGCCCAGCCCACCGAGGAGCAGGTGCTGAGCCGTCTCACTGCGCCCGTCGTCACCACGCAGCTCGACACCAAGAACATCTCCTTCGAGAGGTTGGTGGCTGTGGCCTTGGTCAGCCTGGAGCCAGCCTGGTGGGGTGCCCGCCTCACCCGGACCACTCTACTTCCCCAGGAACAAGACTGGCATCCTGGGCTGGCGCAGCGAGAAGACCGAGATGGTGAACGGGTATGAAGCGAAGGTGAGGCTGCAGTCCTGGCGCCAGACACGGCCCACTCTTGCCTGCAGCAGGCTGGGCGGGGCTTTCCTGACCGCCTTCCCCAGCCTTGGGGGCGCAGAGGCAATGAGGCTTTAGCCCAACAGCCGTTGAGAAGGGCATCTGCTGAGCACCAACATGCAGGTTCAAGGCACCCTTCTGACATTTTACATGGATGCACACACACACGCATGCGCACGCACACATGTCATTTAGTCCCACAACACCCCTTTCTGGTAGGTGCTCTTCTGTTATTTTTCCCATTTCACATATGTTTATTGAGTCCTTCCCATGGTGTTCCATTTAATCTTCACAACAACTCCATGAAGTAGGAATTATTGTACCATTTTACGATGAGGAAAGAGAGGCCTGGAATGGTTCAGTGACCTGCACAGCTGCTAAGTGGCAGAGCTGATGTTTAGGCCCTGGCTGCCTGACTCTAAAGCCAGGCCCTTGCCCCTGGGAAGACTCTGTCTGCCACTCTGGGAGCCCAGTGTTGCCCAGCACTTGGTGCAGTTGATGGAGGAAGGAACTAATAGATTCTATGAGGTTCTGTATGTGGTGTCTTCTCCCGAAGGCTCCGCAGGCTGAGTTAAGGCCAGCGTGTGTACCCTGCTCGGTTATAACTGTCCATTTTATTGTCTCTCCAACTAGAATGTGAGCCTCAGGAGGGAAGAGATCATGTCTGGCTTGTTTACCACTGTATCTCTGAGGCCCACCCCAATGCCTGGCACATAAAGGCTCCTCAAAAAATGTTTGTTGAATGAATAAGTAAATGAATGAATGACTTCATATATTTACTTGCCCAAAGGCCAAGGACTGGAGCAAAGAGCCCCTGCAGGACCTTTTCTTGCAGGGAGCGTTCTGAATGCTCTTGGGGGCAGAGCGTGTGGGTACCAGAGCTGCCTCTGAGCCCTTTCCTCTTCTGTCCCCAGGTATATGGGGCATCCAACGTGGAGCTCATCACCCGGACAAGGACAGAGCATCTTTCAGAACAGCACAAGGGCAAGGTCAAAGGTAATGAGGCAGAGATGGTTGGGAGGCAGGTGTTGTAAGACTGAAAGAACCAGCTCCCACTTCCGCTGCCTCCTTCAGTGTTACCGCTAGCGTCCCGGCAAGAGCCAGGATGGTTTATTCAGGCAAATGGATTTCAATTCAAGTGCCAAGCCCTAGTGATTGCTAGTGGCTGTCTAGAGTAATAAGGAGATGCTAAGGGCTCATTTGGGCTCAGTGGAAAGGCATGCTACAATTGATTATTAATATCTGCATTGGGTTTGGGTGGGCGGAGAAATGTCATGTTTGCCATTTGTTGGCTATTCTAGTCTAACAGGACATACCCTAGGTAGAAAGTCAGGGGACCCCGCCACTGATTCTGCGTGCCTGTTGATATCACACCTGACTCTCTGGGCACCAGTTACCCTGTCTGAAATGGGAAGACTTAATTCCAACCTCAAAGGGGAACAAAATAAGTCATTAATATGGAAGTGCCCGCAGCAAAACACATACATACACGTGCATACACCAAAGGCAGGTGTTTTACTGTCCAGTGTCACCCACCAAAAGAGAGTAGCACTTTTGGAAGTTTCTCCTGAGCCTTAAGCCTACTTTTTTTCTTACTATTTTAAGCTGTGCTTACAGTGGTCCTGGCCCCTGCCTCTTGGAGTCCTTCAGATGAAGGTGCCTGGGTATGTGGTGTGGGTGAGCAGCCCCCACCCCAGGAACCAGCCTCCTCCCTAGGTCTTGGGTGCCATCATTTCCAATGAGGTGCCCAAGTGTGTGTGGGGACATGGTTCCTCTGAGATGCCACCTTTCTTGTAGGCTGTAAGACGCCTCTGCAGTCCTTCCTGGGAATTGCTGAGCAGCATGGGGGCCCCCAAAATGGGGTGAGTGTGTGCCACAGGTGCCCCTGAGTGGAAGGGTATGGATGTGGCTCAGGAGGCTTGGGAGGTGTCCTGCTTGGCATGGCCTGTGTGGACCTGCTTTCCACGATGCCCAAGGCCATGTCAGCTGCACACTGGCAGGGGAACAGCTCGGGAGCCCCGTAGTACCATGTGGCTGGCCTGGCATCAGGGACTGAGAAGGGTTGGACCCTTCTCCATGTGGTACAGACCCTGATCACCCAGACTCTGAGCCAAGCCAACCCCACTGCCATCACCGCAGAAGAATACTTCAACCCCAACTTCGAGCTTGGCAACCGGGACATGGGCCGCCCCATGGAACTGACCACCAAGACGCAGAAGTGAGGCCCCCTGCTGGTGCCAGGGAGGGGTGGGCAGAGCTGGGGCTCCAGGAGATGCTGGGAGGCTGTGGCTTCCTGCAATGTCCCTCACCCCTTGGGATCTGGGGGGGGCAGGTTCAAGGCCAAGCTGTGGCTGTGTGAGGAGCATCCCCTGTCCCTGTGTGAGCAGGTGGCCCCCATCATTGACCTCATGGCCATCAGCAATGCGCTCTTTGCCAAGCTCCGAGATTTCATCACCCTGCGCCTGCCTCCTGGCTTCCCGGTCAAGATTGGTGAGACCCCATTGCCATTTCCCCTCAGCCCCTGGCGGGGAGATGGGGTTTATATGGGCAAGGGGGTGGCGCTGCGGCGTGAGGCGGCGGTTGGTGGCGCCTGATGGTTTCCTCATCCTCAGAAATCCCGATCTTCCACATCCTCAATGCTCGCATCACCTTTGGGAACCTCAATGGCTGCGACGAGCCGGTGCCATCCGTGCGAGGCAGCCCCAGCAGTGAGACCCCTTCCCCAGGCAGCGACTCCTCCAGCGTCAGCAGCTCCAGTTCCACCAGTGAGGCTCTCCACTCCCCGCCCAGCCCTGTCCCCACGCCCCACCCGCTTTCCCGCCCCACCAGGACGCTTGCCCCCTTCCTGGGTGGGACCAGCCCGTGCCTGACCCCCACCCCGCGTCCCCAGCCTCTTGCCGTGGCTGCGAGATCTCCCCAGCGTTGTTCGAGGCCCCTCATGGCTACAGCGTGCTGGGCGGCCAGCGGGAGGCGGCAACACGCGACGACGATGACGACCTGCTGCAGTTCGCCATCCAACAGAGCCTGCTTGAGGCGGGCAGTGAGTACGACCAGGTGGGTCCCCCAGCTGCAAGTGGACACGGGACTGCGGCACCGACGCCCCTCCCTCGCTAAGTGGCCCACGCCCCTCCCTGCAGGTCACCATCTGGGAGGCGCTGACCAACAGCAAACCAGGCACCCACCCCATGTCCTACGAGGGTCGCCGACAGGACAGGTCAGTGTCCGCTAGGCTGGGGAAGATTTGGAGACGCCTGTCTCGCCCCTGCCCCCGCCTACCGCACACGCACCCTGTCACACTGGGTGTGAGGCGAGTGGAGCCTCCCCTCTTGGCTCAGAGAACCCTGGTGCCCTCAGCAGGGACCCTCTGGTGTCAGGACGGCTCCTACCACCTCCCTTTTCTGGCTCCGGGTGGCCGGGCAGTGCCCCAGCGGCGGGCCGGGGCAGGCATCCAGGCCTGGCGTTCAGGCCCTGCCCAGCCTTCGAGGCCCCCATGGCTACAGCGTGCTTGGCGGCCAGCGGGAGGCCCCAGGATGTCGGGGCTGGGGTCCTGGAAGATGCCCCCATGGTCTGGGTCGCCGCTGACGGAAGGGAAAATTCTGTGGGGGCTGGGATCTGCCACAACCACGCGGTGGCCAGGGCGGCGACGCGGGACTCATCGCCTCCACTAGAGCGCGGCGGACCTGCGCCACCCTGGAGCCTCCACACTGTCCCTGGGCCCCCGATTATGGGCAGGTGCCCCCGGGAGCCCTGGCCATATCTCCCCCGCCCCCAGGAGCGCCCCGCCCACGCCACAGCGCCAGCCCGCGCCCCCGGCGTCGGCGCCCAGCCCTCGGCCCAGCCCGCGCCCAGGTCCCGGCGGCCACGTGTTCCGGAGCTACGACGAGCAGCTGCGGCTGGCCATGGAGCTGTCGGCGCAGGAGCAGGAGGAGCGGCGGCGGCGCGCGCGCCAGGAGGAGGAGGAGCTGGAGCGCATCCTGAGGCTCTCCCTGACCGAGCAGTAGCGCCCCCTGCCGGGCCCCTCGCCCACGCCACGCGGGACACTCGCCTGCCCAGCTGCGGCGGGAGACCGGAGCCACCGCCTTGGGGGTGTAGCGCGCCAGGCACGAGACGGGGAGGGGTTCGGCACGGGCGCGGGGTACCTTTCCAGGCCAGGGCCCTGGAGGCAGCTGGCACGGCCGGTCGCCCTGCTTCGCTGTATTCTCACCCCCAACCCGCTCCCCTGGGCTTGGAGCTGTCCGAAGGTGGACCCAGGGGTTCCTGAGGGGGAGATGAAGCCTTGGAGGAGCATCGTCCCCATGTCTTGCTCCTTCTGGTCGGCCCTCTTTTCTCCTTACTGACCCCACTCAAGGACACTGCCCCTGAAGACTCTGCATCTCTGCTCTTCACCCCTGGGGGGCAGCTGAGCTCCCCGCGTGCTGTGTCGCTGCTTTGTCCTGGACACAAACCAGCACGTCAAGGGCCCGGCCTCTCCCCCACCCCGGCATTTCAGCGTCAAGTGCACTTAGCGGGGTGCCCGGCTCCCCCAGCCCCCACATCCGTCCTGGGTCTCAGGGTGGGCCCAGCTTCTCCTTGGGCAGCCAGAAGTTGGAGTCCCATCTCCAAGGCACGTTTCTTTGCGATCAGGGAGTGTGTCCAAGGTGGCCCCTTGGCCTGGGCAAGACCTGACTCCCTTATGGTGCCTTGGAGAGTCAGGGGCGTATTGGGCTGGAGTTAGCACTAGACCCGATACCAGACTGGATACAAAAGGGCCGTCCAGGGCCCTGGCACCGCCACCCACCCCTTCCCACCAGCTGCTGCTAGCCCTCTGTGGTTGTGCGTCCCACTGGCCCCCACACAGGGCCTGACTCTTAAACCCTTTATCCAATGGTGCTAACCCCCGGCTCCCCCCTGCCCCACCTCACCCACCCAGAGAAGCACAGACCCCGCCAGGGGCAGGGGCCCACCGCACACCCTTGTCCTGGGCCTATCTCGGACTGGCCTTCCCGGCTCAGCCAGTGAGGCTCAGAAGGGACACAAGAAGGGACGGAAGAAAAGAATAACAAAGAGAAACTGTTCCTCCCACCCCCTTTCCTGATGCCAGGGGCACCAGACTGATTCTGAGGCACAAATAAAAGAGGCTTCAAACAGAGGCTTTTCCTACCTGACTTTACTGGGGAGGAACGCCCACGGTGCGGTTTGGGGGTCCTTCTGAACCTCATTGTGGGGAGGGCTGTAGGGTATGAGGCTGCCGGGTGGTGCCTGAGCCCAGGGTTTCATTGCCAGGTTCCCCAGGAGCCTAGGGTAGCATCTGCGGAGGCTGGGGCGTCTCGTCCCCGCACCCCACCCATGCAGGAGGCGCAGACTGAGCACTTTGTTAAATGTTTCATTCGGTACCACTTGATTTCCTCACAGAGTCAAGGCCACAGCAGAGCGCTGGGGGCTGTGTGTGTGTGTTTGTGTGTGTGTGTGAGTTTGGTGAGCCTGCTTCCTCATGCCAGTTCTCCCGCGATTTCTCTGCGGGGGCTGCCGCGAGGAAGCCGCCCTCTCCCGGGTCGGTGGGAAGAAGGAAGAGAGCCCACTACCACAGCCCGCTGTGCGTGCGGCCAGGGGGTCCGGCTCTGCAGCAAACGGGTTGTGTATGTGTCTGCAGAGCTGGGGGGACGCCTGTCTGGTTTACCACTCGGGGTGGTGGAATCGAGTGAGCTGATTAGGAGAAGCGCTGTAATTTTCCCCAGTCATTCTGGGGAGACCCATAGAAGCGCCACCCCTTTGAGGTCAAGCTCAAGCTTCCAATATCCCCCTAAGCATCCCGCTAATACTAAGCACTTTCCCTGCCTTGGGCGGGGGACAAAGGGAACCCCATCTAGCCGTGCAGCACCATTGCTGAGGCCCCGATACTCTAGGCCTCCCTAGGCCAGCTCCCGCAGAGAGTCCTGGACTAGGCGCGCAGCCCGGCCCCAGCCAGACCGACACGGGGCTCCCCGATGCTTCTTCATTTGTCCCGGTCTCCCGCGAGGGCGGAGCTCCCGTCCCAGCCCCGGCCTGGCCCCACCCAGGAAGGCGGGGTCCGGAGTCCGGGCCCAAAGGCTGGGGCGGGGCCGAGCTTGTGCGCCCCGCCCCGCCCCGCGCCGCCCGCCTGGCGCGGAGCTTCGCGGCGCACGCTGCGCTAGTCCGCGCCGTCCACCAGCTCGCACAGCATGTTCTCCAAAGCCGTGATGCGCTGCTCCTGGGCCTGCACCCGCTCGCGAAGGGCCTTGATCTCCTCCAGCAGCGTCTCCAGGGTGTGCTGCTGCTGGGGCGCGGAGGACAGTAGAGGCCGTGTGGGACAGGGGCGGTAGGGGGATGTGTAGATTGGGCCTGAGTGGCGCGGGGCCCGATCTTACCGACAGGGAGGTGTCGCTGGCCGACTGGCTGCGCCGGGGGCCCGAGGGTGGGCGCACGTCCAGGATGTTGCGCTTGGTGACCCGGAGCTCGCGGTGCTTGGGGGGCACGTAGCCGTCCCTCAGCGAAATGAGCACGGGTTCGGCATCCTGGCCCGATAGCCATTCGTCCGCTTCCAGGGCCGGCTCTGGGCCCGGCGTATCCGGGTATAGATCGTCCTGGAACAGGTCTGACTGCGGTGTGGTGGGCAGACAGGTGGGCCAGCGTGAGACCGGCGCGCGGCCTGCCGCGCTCCCTTCCGCCTCGGAGCCCCGCCCAACCCCTCTCTCTCCCGGCCCCTCACCTTGCGAGGCACAGTCATGATGATGGGTTCACACTTTCTTTCATGCAACTTGTAGAACCTGTAAAGGAGCAGAGTTCAGCATCCCCGCATATTCCCACGATCTTAGCTCCTGGTTTGGGACCAGAAGTTGGAGACCAACGCGCACATTGTTATTAAATACGTTGTCGGTTCTGTGGTTAAACACCTCTGAGGATCATTTTACAGATAAGGAAAGTGAAGTTCTGAGAATGTGCTGCTAGTGAGCCACGGGGCGGGTACTGAAACAGACCAGTGTGATCCCTCCCCCCTTTTCCAAATCGTTGCCCTATAGGGGAAGTGGCTAAGACCTGACGTGGTAGGGGACAGAGAGGCAGGCGTGCAGGAGGGGCCAAGGCTGCTGACCGGGCGATCTCGCACTTGCTGACATCCAGCCCCCGCTTGGGCATGAAACCCATGCCCCGCTGCGGCTCTTTGCTGCTGAACGTGTTCAGGTAGTGCACGAAAGGCGGCTCGTCGGTAATCTCGAAGTACCGAATGCTGCTGTCGCCCTGCAAAACCAGTCGGTTCAGAGGCCCGCCCAGACAGGGCCCTCCACGTCTCCATCCAATCCCCCGTTCTCCCTGCCCGGCCGCGAGCACCTTGCCACACAGGTAGACGATGCTGGAGTCGGGATCATAAAAGGGCAGTAGGACCCCGTTGCTTGTGTCCATCTCCTGCAGTGCCACCGGCTCCTCGAAGTTGTTCTGCACGAGCACAGGAAGCGTGACCAGCCCTGCCCCGCCCTCCTGTGCTACTTTGGGATCCCCAGAAGCCGGTTTACGCTTCCTGTCCGCCCCAAACTCGGGTGACCAGAGCTGCAGGCCCCTCCGCTGGATACATACTCCTCCCCCGCTGTACTCCGGAACCCCTGCGCCGCCGCATGCAGTCACAGCAAACCACCCCCAGGGACTCGGCATCACCAGGTGGGGGCGCCAGCGCAGGCTCCTTCAGGCGATGCAGCAAAACTGGGCAAAGGGCTGGGTGTGGGGATAGCAGGAGCTGCAGAAGTGGCAACAGCCTCCAGTCCTGTCCAGGTGGGCATGCCCTGAGGGTGGGGGGCACTTGGCCCCTCTCCTGTGATGCCAGTCCCCGGGGCACACACCCCAAGCCTCCAACTGCGTTACCGGGTCCCACAGGCCCAGCTCTCGCTGGCTCATGCGGGTGAAGCCCGTGGTGAAGATATGACCCTGGCGCGTGAAGACCGCCCGCATGGGCCTCATCCCCTCGTGGGCTGCAAACCTCTCCTGGGGGGAGGGGGAAACAGGGAGGGGCATCACCCAGCTGCCTGCCCCGGGGAGCGTGGAGGGCTGAGCACCCAGCTTGCTGACTTGGGTGTGGCGGGCGGAGGCGGGGGAGAGAAAAAAAGGGGCCTAAGAACTCAGCTTCTTGGGGGACCATAGCTGGCCCCTAGTCTGGAGAGAGCGTCTGGGCCCGGAAAGAGCAGGAGGCGGGCAGCTCTCAGCAGATCCAGAGCCCTGAAGCGCGTTCAAAGGCTGATCCCTAGAGCAGGGGATGTCTGCTGGCTCCCCGGGTTCGCAGCGAGGCTTTTCTCGAACGGGAGCTCCTCGCTCCGCTTGGTGCCAGCCACAGCCCGGGAGGGCGCCCTGGCTGACCCTGCGAAGGAGCGAGCGAGCGAGCGCGCGCGCCCGGGGCGGCCTGGCCTACCGGGTCCCAGAGCGCGAGTTGCCGCTCACTCGTCCTGCTGAAGCCGGTGCTGAGCAGCTTCCCGTCTGCGGTGAAGACGGCCCGCAGCGGGCGGGCGCCCTCGTGAGGCCGGGCTCGCTCCTGCTCGCGGGGTTAGCGGGTTAGAGCGCCCGCGCTCGCCCCCGCCGCGCGTGCTCCACGCACACATGCACGCGCCCCGCACCCAAGGTTAGAGTGAGGCCGGTGAGGCAAGGGCGGCCGCCCTCCCTGGGCACCCGGCTGGAATAAGCAATGCGCGAGGGTTGCCCCCTTCCCCTGCCCAGCGGGTCAACAAGGGCGAGAAGGGGCCAGCCCTCGAGCCAGTGTCAGAGCCCAGACCCTGGAAGATGGCGCTGGGTGCC